CTTTCCCTGTTACGTCTCAGAATGTGACACACTTGTCAGCTGAATGTATAATAAAGGCATAATAAAATCACGTTGTGTTTATGTCAGTGAAAGCGTGGTCGTGTTTGTTTCACCGCTTTTAATTGTTCATCTTATCTATACACAACTAGGGAGATACCACAATATCATAGCAGATGTGGGGGGGGGGGCATACATGAGTATCAAAAGTAGACGCTGCAGTGTGGCAGGGTTCACTGGTCCTGAATGATCTAATGTGGTTAACACTTCCGTTTGAAAGACGTACTCATTAAGCCATATTAGTGGAGTGGAATTATAGATATTAAGGACAGCCATCAGCCGTACCATCTGTCCCCTGTTAGGAGCGAACAATAAGCCCTGGAAAAGCCCCTTCTTTTATCAGCAGCTTTATTGGGCGGTCCTCAAACGACAGGCTGTCACATGACCCTTTTTGGTTTTTTTTTTCCAGACAGTGAGACTCCAAGCTCAATCAGCTGTATATTTTACGATTGTTACCCAACCTTCATAACCATTTTTTGGTAGAGTAAATATATTGGTCATACATAAACCAGTAATATGTGACAAGTTATGGTCTTGGGAAGGCACTGGACAGGAAATGCTGAGTTCCTGCTGAGTTCTGCTCCATCCCATGAGCCATTTGCATGGCATTTTCTCAGTACGCATGTGTTTGGTGAATTCATCTGACACAACGAATGTAGGCCAAGTTGGGTCATGTTACAATGAACACACCAAGGGCCTGTGCTTACCTTGCCAACCCAGACTGAACCCTGTTTTTAAAACTGACAATACTAAATCACATATTACATACAGATTAAAAATATGGTATATTCTCACCGTCATCTTAAAAGATGGATCTTATCTTTGAAGGAGCCAAGTAACCTTCAAACATATTATGTCTGGTTAAATCCCATCCCAAGTCCATGTCCTCTCTTCTTTGTTCCTACTCAAACAAAGTTTTATAGAGTAATGCTGTGTACAATTGCACCAATTGTTTACTGATCGCGAAATGATGAAGACAGAATAAATAACACTATTTACTTTAGCAAACTGAAAGCTGAAAACTCTTCTGTTAATTGCTAACTGTCGACATACTTAATCCATGTGCAACTGTAGTCCATGTGCAACATTTGTCCTCCTCACAGACCAAATTGCGAAATGGGACCATTTGTACTATTTGCCCATCAGCAATATATTACATATTACTCCAGTCTCTCTAAAAGTGAAGAGGCTTCAGCCAAAGACTTACACAACTGACAAAAAGAACAAAAAACCAGACCACTGTGCTCCAACGCTCAGTCATGGTAAGTATGGTTTTACTTGACTCTCATTCTCAATGTGACTTGCCGTTGAGGAGACTTCCACCACAAAATACAAAATGCTTACGACCAGAGCAAACAACAGGGCATCGGTTTTTCCATTACCCCACGGTCTAAATGAGGCAACATTGTTTGTGAGCCCTCAGGGAGACTTACCCACTGTTAAAATCTGGATTTAGGCTCGTGAGGGGGCTTTAGCGTTAGCAAGCAGGCGCTCCGGTTACATCTTTTTTTTTCTGCCGTTGTTCAGGCTGTCCACTTCTACTTTGAAATTAGTCGCTGAGTAACATACGGCACAGACTTAAGGTAAACTGATACCATCACCTTGTCATGCCTATGGGGACAGCTGGGGAGAGGCCTCCCTATGGGCAACATGCTAACTGAGGGATACGTCTGTATCTCAGGACACTGGTAAACATGTGGAAAACAAATGGAGGAATCAAAGAAATTCTTGGCTAAAATACCTTTCAAATCAACATATTACTTTTAAGAGACCAATTTAACGAACAGGTAAGTGAACGCTTCCTCGTGCCATCTTTAAAATTAGATGAAGTTTCTGCACTTAGTCTGGCATGTATTCCTTGGAATAAGCTAAAATGAAATATCAGTATCTCTGTACCTGTCCAGATATATACATGTGTGGTTTCGTCTCTGCATCTACATACTTAATATATTTAGCTTCCAAACCAATCGTTCAAACTGAGTAACAGCAACAATCCACCAGCAAAATGTCTTAGTAGTTTTTTTTCCTGCATGCAGTTTTATTTGCTTTCACTTGGAAGGAGAAGTTGACCAGACTCAGTTTCATAATTTAATTAAAATTAGTTTCTCATATACAAAAAAATAAAATACATACAAATACATTTTTAGTGGATGCGAATAAAATTTAAACCATCACTTTACACAACCTTAGCTAGCAGATTCGTATGACTGGCGTTTGAGTACAACTCCCAAAATTTCAGGCAAATGTCCTAAACAGGAAAGGAGGAGGAGACCAATAGGATTCAATATAATACAGTAGCTTGTTGTGGGTTTTTGACAAATTCAAAATGTACTGTATTATGCCTATATGCACTTCTATTAGTATCATCAAAATAGAGAATATGTTCATAGCTAGCTTTGTGCTTATGACAAGCCAAAAAGTTTTTAAATAGACAAGCGTCACAAAAAACTTGTCTTGGTGAGCGACTGTCCCAGAGTGGGCATTTTGAACATTCCACCTCTCCCCTTTCCGCTTCATTCATCGCTCTGAGAGGCCTACTCTGTGACATCACTGATAATGACAGCTGAGAAGGCCTAAGATGGAGCAGATAGCAGTGGAGGGGCCACTGTGGGTCACAGCCACCATTGATTACACTACAGAAAGGCTACATATGTGACACTTAATATTCAGTGTCTGACATTTTTAACTTTGACCATCCTTATGTTTAACCTTACAAATTCCCTTTCACAAGGGTGAGCTGGGCCTGAAATTTTCATATTTTCATATCTAAAAAAGTTAAATGGGCTGGCCATTCATAAAGAAATATGACTGGCTCATGTGGTCTCGGTGTCAGTCAAAATTATGATATGATAAGTCTTAATAGACAAAGTTATTAACTGTTTTATTGTCAACCCGGACTTAGCATAACACTATCACTGGTCGATTTTAGCTTTGATGACTGAATCCCTGCACCGATCATAGTATACAATTATTAAGCTGGCGGTTAATAATTGTATGAAAAAGTCTAGAAAACCAAAGGTAGGTAAGGTATGCCTAGTATCTCCTTGACACACATTTGAAAGGCACATTACCTCTTGCCTGGAGGATCAGTAGTACTTCCGGGATGAGAGACAATTGCCCAGCAGCATGAAATACTTCTCTGCTTCAGTCAGACATAATATAGTGCCGGTACTAAGCAGACAGGGAACAGCCTTTTCCCTACCTGAATCTCTGTAATTTTGTGCACAAGTCTTAGAATACACAGGAAAAATATTCATCCATCTTGAAACTTTTTAACCAATGACCTCAAAGTGTTTTGAGGATCACATCAGCTGTCAAAAATTGACAGAAGCTGATTTCGCAACTCTCTCCTGCATGCGCTAAGGACCTGGCGCCGAATGTTCATAGCCACAGCAGGCTTCTCATTGGAGGACTTGCTCCCGCTGCCCTCTGAGCTTTGAGCCTTGGACCTGAAAGCTACGCTACGCTCCTGCTGCACCGCCTTCAAGCTGCAGCCACTGCAGAGCTGAATGCTCTCTTAAGTAACTTTTAAAACACGACAGCGTCCGTGCAGGGATATGCTTTGGGGCATTTGAGGACAGGCAGCCGAGAAGAGTTGCTCTTCGTTTCTTATGACCAGCCGATCTATTGATGTTTTATATTTCTCCTCTGGTAGGCGGGGCTCCTTCTGACTGTGATCATGCTCCTTCATGCGTCCTCCACCTCATCCTCCGCTTCTTCACCATCGTCTGCAGTGCTGCAGACTCTATTTCAGTACATCGATGACCATCAGAACGAGTTTGTCCAGGTGAGTGAAGAAAGACACCGTTGAATCTGGCATTTCTCTGGCAACCAGAGGAAAACGGTAATTTGATGCGCATAAATACAAAGCATGCCATATTAGGAGTTAGTCTGTTGGAGGCCAACCTGTACAATTACAAATAAAGACTTGCTGTAGCAATATGTCTTGAATATTCTATTTGGAGAAGCTGAGTTTCTCTGATAGGAATACAGGGAGAGGGAGGGAAATATGGATAGAGTGTGAAAGCTCTGAGTATCATGTAGAAATAATGCCTCTCTTTGCTGGACAGAGGTTGGGAGAGTGGGTGGCCGTTAAGAGTGACTCCAGCAACCAGGCCCTCTGGGGCGAGGTCCGGAAGAGCCTCAACATGACCTCAGACAGAATCCAAGCAATGGGAGGCCAAGTGGAGTTTGCAGAAGTCGGCACTAAGCAGGTACAGACTGACCTTCATGCAATTCCTCTCCTGCACTCAAAACACAATTCCTCCACGTTATTTGGATCAAGCTGTTATCCATAGACAGGCCTGGTTAGTCATCAACCAACCAGTCAAAACAAGTATCAGTGGAAAAAAACTAAAGCCGTCATTCTGTAGTATCCATCAGTTTCATCCAGCTGAAAAGAGTTTGAAATGACAGCCAACAAGATCTGCATCTCTGAAAAATGAAAGCTTTGATGCAGAGTGAGTTTAAATTGTCATAGCCTCTGTTAAGAGGAGAGTTCAAAACAAGGGTGACTCGCTTTCTTGTGGAACTGGTTTTGTGTGTTTTATGCTTCAGGTGCTGCCAGCCCATTCATACAAAGGCAAACGGTGCCTCATGCTACTTACACAATCATGTGAGAGGGGATTTAACAGCTTGTCTTCCCTTTTCACTGAACATTTCTTTTTATATTTTGTTCAACCCTGTCGTGTAGAAAGGTATTCATGTGTGGCTTTTGGAACCTCATGATGGATTGACATAAGACATTCTGTCAGTAACTGACTTCTTTGATTCAATCAAAAGAACACTCTCCACGTTGAAAGACTATATTTACAACTGAAAGACACTAACTCTTATCCATAGGAATTTGCATAGCTTGTGGTTTTATGCGGTATCCTTTTATAGGTCTGGATATTTACTAAAGCAATTTAGATGGAGTACCTTGTTCAGGAGCCCCAGGGCAGTGCCTCAGGCAGGAATTGAACCTACAACTGAGTTACAAGACCAAAGTCCTAACCACTACACTAGCCACCCACATAGTTAATATAGTGTAGTGTAGAACTAATAGAATATGGTAGCTCCATTCATTTTAAGGTTTGAATACTTACCTTAGCACTACTGCTTACCTGTTTCCCTTGTGTTATTCTGTGGAAGCTGCCCAACGGGGAGTCTGTGGCTCTGCCTCCTGTCATCTTGGCCCAGTTCAAGAGAGACCCAAGCAAACCCACGGTCTGCTTCTACGGCCACACGGACGTCCAGCCCGCCAAAAAGGAGGACGGCTGGTCCACCGACCCCTACACTCTGACCGAAATAAACGGTGCCTCCTTTGCTCTCCCTAAACCTGAAATTTTCTGGTGCCAAGGAATTAAAGGTTTAGTAAATAGAAATGTCTTTGAGGGTCTGTTGCAATGAACATAGCTGCAATGAACTTAAGGTTTAGACCACAGAGCTGTATTCAAACTGGAACAGGTGTTCCTTATCTCACAGATTAGGAGTAGCTGTTCTGGTTGAACAGTGTTTCCATGGACCAGTGGTTTAATCCTGAGCTTCATTGCAGTTGACACATTGAAACATCTCCTTATGCTTTGCCATCACTATTTCATTAAAGAGACTCATTATAACTTACTTTCGTCAATTTGTGTTGCTGGATATTCACTGATGTGATTTAGATAAGTCCCTTAACTAAATACTAAGCCTTTAGCTCCTCCTCTGGGACAAGCACCTACAAGTGTCTGGTCATGAGCCTGAGTCCGTAACCATGGCATCATTCTGATGTCAGACTGTTGAGTGTAGGGATACAGGGACGGGTCTTTACCCATTACTGATGGCCTGGTTCTGGTCTATCTTGTACAGGCAACCTATACGGCAGAGGGGCCACAGATAACAAGGGGCCCGTTCTGGCATGGCTGCATGCTGTGGAAACGTACCAAGGCACAAAGCAGGTTCTGCTCAATATATGCGTTATACATATTTGTACATATATATACATATGGTTACTTGGCTGATCGATTATTCTCTTTGCCTGGGTAAGGAGATGCCAGTGAACATAAAGATCATCGTCGAGGGGATGGAAGAGGTGGGTTCAGATGGCCTTGCTGAGCTCATCAGGCAGCGTAACGACAGCTTCTTCTCCGATGTGGACTACATCGTCATCTCTGACAACGTTTGGGTCAGCAGGCATCCGGCCCTCACCTACGGCACCAGGGGCAGCAGCTACTTTTTTGTGGAGGTCAACCTCTATTTTATTATTATCATATTTTTCACATTTTGGTCTGTTCCCCCAATCTGCAACGCCCAAGGAGTTGCAGCTGTGGTTGGATGGAGAACCAGCATACACAGCAGGCCTCCAAGCTTGAGAACCACTGCCCTTTTTATTTACTTATTTCATCATACAGTCTCACTTTTAATCTTGCATCTACCACTTCACAATCTGCAAATCAGTCTTTGCAACAATAAATCTTCTTATTGGGCGGTCAAAATTTGACATAAAATGTTGGTTCTGTTCAAATTGCCGAGATAATTAAGATTTAACCAATAAGAACTAAGTAGTTGGGGGATATGCTGCCTCTTGCCCTTATATTTAGCTGTTTGGGGAAATGTATTCAGCTTACATGTCAGACAGGCTTTTTTAATCTGTCCTCTTTAAGAACTTCAGTATTCTATGGATAGTATGCACTGTGCATAAGGAACTCACTCCAGGCATGGGGTGATGCTTTCTGTTCGCTGCAGGTGGAAGGCCCGAAATTAGACCTACATTCCGGAGTGTTTGGGGGGTCCATTCAGGAGCCTATGACTGATTTAATAGCCCTTCTTGGTGAGACCTGACACATGAGAATGTAATACAAGTGTTTGATGACAAGAACATACCATTCAGCTTGTCCAGTTTCGATAGCCCCATCCAATGGGAGAGATGCCGCTTAGTTAGTTTTTCCAAAGCATACAAGAAGTCAGGCGACTGACTGCTTCCACATCCATCATCCAATCAGGTAGCCTGTTGGACAATACAGGAAAAATCCTCGTCCCTGGCCTCAACGACGCCGTTGCTCCGCTGACCGAAGAAGAGAAGAAGCTGTATGAGGCTATTCACTTCGACCTGGATGAGATGAAAAAAACAGCTGGAGTCAAGCGCTTCTTACAGGACAACAAGGTACATGAAAGCACCGCCCTGAAGAAGAGGTGATTAAAGGAACTACAAGGGTTTGGTGACAGGAAGTGTAGGTTATTTAACTCAACAGCAGGGTGCGACAAATGCAGTTTTATTCATTCGAGTTCTGTCAGGTGACGACTGTTGAATAACTGTTGTTGTAACTGTTGAATGTCATGTGGGTTGGCTGAGGGAAAGAATTTCCTGTGTTGTAGGACAATCTTGAATGTGCATTTTTGCCATTTTTTACACATTGAAAGCTCTCTCTTCCACACATATCTCTCATCCACTCAGTCTCAAGGTTTTCATGACACTGACACACGTAAGATTGAAAGCCTTGGTTTATTAATTGGTTTTGAATTTGACCAGTCTGATGTTAATTTGCAGTTGAAATGGTGAAAATTCTCGTTGCTGTCACAAACTCTGACATCGACATCTCTTAATGATGCCAGGAAGGAATCCTCATGGCCCGATGGCGGTACCCATCACTGTCCATCCACGGTATTGAAGGGGCTTTCTCCGACCCAGGTTCGAAAACGGTCATTCCTCGACGTGTCATCGGAAAGTTCTCCATCCGCCAGGTGCCCAACATGGAACCAGCTGTTGTAGAGACGCAGGTAAAGATCACAGAGCAGGTGTAAATCTACATCGGAGAGCTTAGCTCTTGAGTAGACCATTCGTCAAGCAATTTACTGTCTCTCATCACTGTCGTAAGATTCTAGACTGGTATAATATTTTACCATTCCTCAAATGTTTCAATCAGTCATATCTGCTGCTTGGATAGATTCAGTCAACTCATCATTAGTTGACCATTAGGTGGTCACTTCTGGATTCTAAAGCTGGGTTTTTCTTACCTCCGTGCAGGTGAAAAAGCACCTGGAGGAGGTCTTCGCCAAGCAGAAGAGTCCAAACACCCTGAAGGTGACCACCACCGTGGGAGCCAAGCCGTGGATGGCCAATGTGAATGACGTACTGTACGTAGCTGGACGAAAGGCGGTGAAAGCAGGTAGGATGAAATTCCTTTTTCAGTGCATTGGTCCATGTTCCTTATGTCCATTTCCATTTTTATATGCAAGACCATCAGGAGAGACAGCGATGTGTGTTCACCACAATAAAGGATGCATTTTGATGGGCAAACTTCAAAAATGCATATTACTTGAGAGTCATTGCTTTTGCTTTGCAGCAAAATGTATTGGTTTCCCTTTCAGTGACACTCATATTTGCATATTTAGCTCTCTTTACATCAATGAAAAACTGTGGTTTAATCTCTAGACAACTGTGTATATATAACCAGCAAACACATGATTCAGAATTCCTTATGTTGGTCTACGTAACTAAAATGGTTTTGCAAGAGGTCCTTAATGTTGATACACAGGTATAAATCACAACAACTTCAATGATTTTCTTCAGTTTTTGGAGAGGAGCCAGAGCTGATCCGAGAAGGATCCACCATTCCCATCGCCAACAACTTCCAGGAAGTTACAGGGAAGAGCACGATGATGCTGCCCATTAGTGGCCATGACGACGGCGAACACTCTCAGAACGAGAAGATCAGCAGGTTAGGGGACACGAGTGTGCCACTCAATCCTTCCCAAATTATTTTACTTACACAGTCTGTAGGACAGAGCTGTTTCTACCGCCATTTCTAATACAGTTAGATAGTAACTAAGAAGAGAATTAAGACAGGTAGTCAAAACACGCTACACACTTCTGTGCAGTGCTTACCGGCCTGGAACAATGTACATCTATCACCATTTCATTCTGCTCTGTTTCACTTCCAGCATTGATCATTTTGGCTGTAAAACGTCCTCTGACAATGTTACCAATGTATTTCCCTCACAGGTATAACTTCATTGAGGGGACTAAGCTCTTTGCTGCCTTCTTCCATGAGCTCGCCCAGCTGCAAAAAGACTCTTAAAAGAGAGACATTTTTGACTGTTTGTCCCATGGGAGGCCGCTAAAAAGAAGACGATACAGTGCCATCACTACCGTTAGCATCCCGCTACCACAGGGATCTTCTACAAGATTTAAGCTACACTGAACCAGTTTAGTCACTAATTTATCACAATATCACAGCCTACAATCAAATTAATATCAATCAATTGAACATGTTCTCTGCTAAATTCTGGGGTATTTTTAAAGAAAAAGTTGACTGTTTTATATTGTACTTTTATCTCTGTTCAAACAGTAATTATCTCTTGGCTCCCCCTACTGTTTTCTTCTAAAAACAACATTCTCTTCTGGATGTTGAATAAAGCAAGTTAAATGAGTAGGTTTACAATACTCTAAGGGTCCAGCTCTTGGGGAACCAACAAATTAAAATACACCAGCTTTGAAGATAGCACCACATTACTTGTACAACATACTCTGTATATAATAAACATGTGTATTAATTCAGTCTGAATGTTGAATGACTTGATTTTTTATAAGAACGTATTGTTCCGACATCTTACATTTTAATCGTATGGAAGGGAAAACTAACTAGAAACTACTCTTTACGCTCACGTAACTAACCCAAAGACTTGAGTTAATTTCTAATTTCATGCCAGGTATGAATACATGTAGACTAGTCCACATACTACTCAATCACAATACTGTAGCCCACACCAACACCTTTTTTTTTACCCTTGTCCACTGTATGACTGTTGCTGCAAAAAACAAAAGGGATGTAAATGCAATAGAATGAACCAGAAAAATCCTTTTCAGAAGAGACAGCTCTAGCAGTAAGACTGTGGTTGAGGCCTGTGTACACCAAAGTAAGCTGTTTTCAATGTGAAAGGCACTTAAAAAGTTATGTCAAACACAAATGAAAAATGGCATTCATGAAAAATGGGCGCTGAACTGAGCTCGAAACCACGTCAAAACCCCTCGTCTATGATGAATTAGCAAA